TGTTTGCTATTTATTGGACTATCTGGTTGGAGAGAAATGCACGAATCTTTGACGGCAAGGAATTAGATGAGGAGGCTTTGTGGAATACGGCTTGATATTTGGCTTCATTTTGGGCATTTGCTTCTCCTCCTCTTGAAGGAGTTTTATTTTTCTTGATTTCTAGGGATTGGGCTGCTGCTTGCCATCTCTAGTGCTAGGAGTTCAATGTTATTTGTTTTGACTGTTTTGCCTTCTCTTTCTCTATTTGTTTGAGGACTTCTTGTCTTCTTTCATTCTTTGTTTTGACTGTTCTGCCTTCTCTTTCTCTATTTGTTTGAGGACTTCTTGTCTTCTCTCATTCTTCTTTTTTAATAAAATTCTTTGTTGATGCTGAAAAAAATGTTTCTTGAAACTGTCGCCACTCTGTGTTTCGTCCTTAAACTATTAATTTTATTTATGCCAAATTACAAATGCACCCCCTGAGATTTAATTTAAAATACGAATTGCCCCCTATAGTTTTGAAAATTACAAATACCCCCTTGCCAAAAAAATTTATTTACCAAAATTAATAGAAAAAATGAAATTCTTAACCACTCTCCTATACAACAATAAAATTACCTGAATTTCTAATTGAAATATGTTTATGATATCATTAAAAACTGTTAATTGACTTGATGATTTATTAATAAAAGGGGTCACTGGTTATGCAATTAGAAACTTGAAGTGGCGAGATGTAATTTCTAGAACTACAGGGAGTAATTTGTATTTTAAGCAAACTTCAGGGAGTGTATTTGTAAGTTACCCTTTATTTTTATTTAATCGTAAAGATTTTAATTTCAACTAAGGTAGTCCATTGAATGTTAAAATCTAATTTGATGGGCAAAAAGTCATTTTAATAATTGAACAATTTAAGTCATTTTTTTATTCGCTATTTGAAATGAGGGTTACAGAAGAGGATGGGTGTATTGTTGTAGAGTGTAAGTTGTCTAATATAGTTGTTGTATGATTTAGGCTATGTATGGCATAGCTAACAAAGCTACATTTTTTTGCCCATTTTTTTTTTTAAAGTGATTTTTTAAAAAATTTGTGCCAAAACTTTTTACTTTTTAGGTTTGTCAAGTCTAAATGGATCTTATCCACCCAAAAAGTCTAAATGGATCTTAGAAGTAGGAAAAAATTGAAAAATTCCAAAAAAAGTTCACTAGAGAAAAAGACTCAAAAACGACAATTTTAAAGTTTTTTTTAGTTGCTTTTCAGGTTTGTTTAGTCTAGTAGGACTGAAAAGTGAATTTTTTTTTGAAAATTTCTTTTTATAAAAGTTCACTAAAGACGAAAAAATGCCAATAAGAAAAACTACTAAGAAAACAATTGCCAAACCCACTATTAGGTTGTCCAAACTGTAAAATTATCTTTTTGCCTAGTGGATTAGGTTTCCCTCATTATTGATTTGGATGGGCTGTCTCTAATTGGACCATATGAACTGAAATCAAATTTTTAGGGATTAACTAGATAAATTGATAGTTTAGGGATGAAATAGAAAAAACGACAATAGTTTACAGGATAAAACTGAAATTAATCCTAAAAATTATGTAGTAAACTGATACAAGAGGTGGCTGATATTGCAAATAGTTATTCTTTGTAATTTAGTTTTCTTGGATTGCTGTAATGAAAGGAGAATGAGTTGTTGACCTGTCACATTGTTATCTAGTTGAATAACTGTTTAAATGTAGTTGTAGAAGGGCAATGAAGTAGCACAATGGTGAGATGACTGTCTATTTTTTGATGTCACATTTACGGGGTAAAATCCGTTTTCTTTTGGGAGACAATTATATATTATTATCTTATACAAGACTACTGTAGGTACCTATACCACGCCTGACACGTGGCGAGCCACATCATTGTCATCACACCCCCACGTGGCAAACCTCTAAGGCACCACTGTCAATTGAGATTACATGCCTAGCCTAAGTCGAGGCATGCACACCATCAAGTATGGAGAGCTCCAAGACAAATGAGCTGGGCTGTCAGCTTGCCTACGTGCTCATTGAGGACCTAGACTCACTTGCATGCCTATTTGGGTTCTTCGCTCACCCATGCTCTCTTGGGGGCCTAAAGTTGAAGCCTTGGCTGCCCATTCAGTCCTTTGGCCAACATATGCTTGCATAGCAGCCTAAGGCTTGCTTTAATATCACTCATTATACTCAAACCACTTGGCTTTCTAGTCTGGGAGTGGGGCCTAGGCAACCTCGCTTGGGGACCATCGGAGGACTGTGGACTGGAGGCTAGGGCCATGGTTACTGTCAAGGTTTTGCTTGGCTGTCTCCTTAGGGAGAGACAATGTGGACCTTACATCCACTCCTCCACGTGCATGATACGTTGCCTTTGAAGATATCAGACGTGTCACCCCAGACGATAGTCAGGTTGATATCAGCATCTTGAGGTGAGGAGAGCCTGCCACCTGCCCCATAAGTTGCTTGGGCTCCTCCAATACTAGAGGAGCCTATATAACGTATCATACATGCAACGACCATGATCATCATACAACAAAGTCTATAACTACACAAACCCTATGTGCACGTTTGGCAGATGGAAGGGGCTGAAATGGAATGTCCATTCTAGGTTGTATTCCATTTCCCATGTTTTGTATGTCTTATCTAAGTGGGAATAGTCATTCTAATGGAATTGCTATTCTAACATGTGAGAATGCATATTCCTTTCTCTAACCTAGGGAATAGCCATTCCATTCGATCATAGAATCACCATAAAACATTATCAATTAGCTACTACCACCATTCCCTTCTACTACCACTCCTTTCCACCAGTGCCACCACCATTACTACTACTACTGCCATCGCCACAACCGCCACCCTGTTGTCACCACCATCACAATCACTACTACCATTACTACATTATCACCACCACCATCGACGCCACAACTACAAGCACAACACCACCACCACAACCACCACATCACCACCACCACCCCGCCACAACCACTGCCACTACCACTACAACCACCACCACCACCGCCACCTTACTACCGCCGCGGCCGTGGCCGCCACCACTACCACCGCTACAACCACCACCTCCACAATCACTACCACGATCACTAGAATCACTACCCTACTACCTCCGCTTCTACCATCACCACTGCCTCTGCTACTAGAACCGTTACCTTACTGCCACTTTAACAAAAAGCATACGACCACCACCATTATCGCAAGAACCACCACTCTACTACTGCTACACACCACCACCACCGTCACTGCCATAACCATTACCTTACCACCACTATCACCATTTTTACAAAAATCACATTACCATTATCGTGAGAACCACCACTCTACTACCACTACCTGCCACCACCACTGTCGCCACCACAACCAACACCAACACCACCACCTCCACAAACACCACAACACCAGCTTACCCCACTACCGTCATAGTGACCTACCACCACCATCATCCTAATACCAATACTATCACGACCATCGATGCCGCCACCAATACCACCACTGACCCCATCCCTTCCACAACTATCATAATCTATATGAATTTTTAACTTGTTTGTTACTAGCTTGTTATAATAATAATAATAATAATAATAATAATAATAATAATAATAATAAATAAAATCGAAAAAATAAAAATATTCTATTCTATGTCATTATCATTATATTTCTATGTCATTTCATGTTGGCAACCAAATGATGGAATGGAAATGAACATTCCATTCTATTCAACCTTGCATTCCATTCCCACACTTATTCCATTCCTTCGTACCAAATATGCTCTAAGTGTTCAAGGTCTCGCTATGCGCCCCCATCTCTAGGCCTACTTAGGTCTTCTCTTCCTCCAACTCCAGTGCTCTCAAGCCACTAAAGTGCCCGTCATTTTCCCAAAGGTTCACAACCGACCACCTCTAACCTCACTTAACCACAACTACCAAGCACACAAAATGCTATTTGAAACTTCCAAGTTTTCTTAGTGGTTGTATTCTACAATTTTCGCAATAATAGCTTGGTTCACAGCCTTAAGGCTCAACTTATGTATACTGAGATTATACAGAAAAGATAAAAGCTCAGCTATGCAACATCTAAGGCACCTCTATATACCGTAGTTCTTCCCAATCCTATTTGATACCGCTTGACCAACATCTTATCTAATCCCAATCTTCAAACCATGTTGAGATTTTCAATAATTTTCAACAAGGCACAATTTTATTTAACTTCTGCTTTGGTTGTAGGGAGATACTTTAGAACTAGAAGCTTATACTTTACAAGAAGCACCTTCTGTGAAGGGGTAAGAAACTTCCAAGGCCCTCTCTTGACAAGCTGTATTTGGCCATGACTGGATAATAGAGTTCGGCCCTGCTTGGGAAAAAGGGTTGGGGATAAAATAGCCTATAAAGACAAAAAAAGGCTAAAATAGGCAATAAGACAAAATGTCACATCCTACACATCAATCAATCACTTTTTTCTCAACCATCTATTCAACTACAAAAAAATCTACAAATCATCACAAACACAACTTTTTTTTCATCTCATAAAATAGCCAAAAAACCAAAAAGCCAACTAAAATAACCAAGTTCCCAAACGAGGCCTTAGTGTTATTTTAGCCATTATGAGGTCTAGAGTACCATTCCAATAAACACCCCCCTTTTTGAAGGGAGAAAAATAACGATCAAGCCACACATTTGCCTTCACAACAACCACATTGTATTGTTGTTTATGCTTGCTCTCCATTGTCATGAATACTTTCTCATACTATACTAGTAGACAACGTAATCAAGTTCTGTGAATAAGCAGTGTGTTAAGTTTAGAGCTTGAGGCAGTGAATTCTGATTCGTAGTTTAAATATGTAATTTGTTTAAATGGCTCAAATCTTGAGGTTTAGCCGCTCCCTTTGCAATATTTCTTGCGAGTTTTAGTTGCGTTGATCTTCATTTCTTCTCATTTTCTTGCCTTGTTACTTCTGTAGTTTATAGTTATTTTGGAAATTAACTTCCAATGCTTTTGCAGTCAGCATGTTGGGCGATGGCCAAGTCATGGCTTGATGTTCAGGTGGATCTTGAACTAGCCCGCTTGCAACCTGGTGGAATGGATCAATTTAAAACTTATGAAGATGCAATTGACAGAAGTCATGGACAAGGAGACAATGTTTCTCCATCTACAGTTGGGCCAGAAAATTGGCCACTACAAGTTCTGAATCAGCAACCCCGGCATCTGCCTGCGCTTCTTCAGAAACTCCATTCAAGGTATACGTCGTCAATTTATTACGGTTTTCTGGTGGGGTATATTAGTATTTGATAATTCTATTTTCTGCATGATTTAGTGACTCAGTACATGAAGCTATTACTCAAGAATGCAAGGAGCAGCACCGGCAAATTGAAGTAAGAGCATCTTCTTAGCAGAAGACTTTAGCATACCTGAATATTCAAATGCCACTTCTTTATACGAATTGGTTTTGAGCTCTAAAATGATGTCTCACGGGCCACCTGTTCCATTATAAATAAGGGTGGTTATGACTTATTGGAAATGATGTCTTGTTGACAGTTAACTTGTTTGATGGACTGCCTAAAAAGGGATTGTGTTACAGTAATGTAAGGATCAACCCACCTATTTGCTGGTTTCAATCATCAAAGTTTATTTTAGGTTGTGTTTGGATCATGGATTTGGGTAGGGATTTGGAAAGGGAAAGGGAAAGGGAAAGGGTACAAGTTAGGGAAAGGGTACAGGTTAGTGAAATGTGACTGAAATATGGCAACATTTCGCACACCTTTTTCCCTTTATTTTTCCAAACTCCTACCCAAATCTATGATCCAAACACAGGCTCAAGGAATTTAACTTGCTGATAATTCTAGTAACTGACCACCTCCTTGACTGGCTCTCACCTCCTAAACATGCATGAAAACTAATACGTTGCACAATTACATAGTAAGAACCAAATTAGCAATATTTAGACCATTCAATATCTCAGTGTAGGAAAAATATTTAGACATGTTGAGTAGTAGATTATGAGTTCTATTCTACACATTATGCATATTCCGAAGTTAATTGGATATAAAGAAACTTCACGGTCGTTGCTGACTTAGTGACCAAACATGTCAGGGCACATTTGATGTTCAACATGCATGGGATAGTATGCAAATAATATGATTTAGTTGACAAATAAGTGGGGTAAACTCTTAGGTTAAAATTGTGGGGGACACTATTGAATCTAAAGGTTTTAGAATGAGTATCAAACCCTAACCCTAGAACTCAAACCTAACAATGGTTGTCTAAGCTCTCCAAATATCTTAAGTGTCCAACCTTAGCAACAAGAGAGAGCCCCTCTCTTTATAGAAGCTTCTTGTCTTGTAAGCTTACAAGACAAGCTTCATAAGAGGGAGATCCCTCCAT